AATTAGGGCTTATATATATGTTTCAAATTATAAATTAACCAACAAAAGCGAAAGGGCTAAGTAATGTGCTTTTACTGATTTATGAGAGCTCTTTGCCTTCTGGTGTATCTTCTTGAATTAGATTTATAGCAATTTTGGTCCTTTTTGGGTGTACGAATAAGAATAAGAATAGGTTCTAATTCTCTAAACGCAATGTTTTTGAGTGTACAAATGAGCATAGGTGCTAAACTCAACATTTTACCACTAAACCATTTCGAGAGCTAGAGAGTGATTACAAACATACATAATGCTATCGAATGATCCCTATCTATCCTAAATCCAATGCCATTGTTCAAAACTCCTTTCCCCTCAAAATTCAAAAAACCCCCCCTCAACTCTCTCCCCTGTTCTACTCCCTCCTCTTCCTCCCACCACCACCTCCTCACAAAAAACAATGAGCACCACCTCCTCTCCCTCCTCCACCTCCACCGACACCGGCCCGAAACAGGCCCAGCCCACCAAATCCACGCCTACCTAATCACCTCCTCCCTCCACCGAACGCAAATCTCCCAAACCGGCATCATCATCTGGAACACCCTCATCAAAATCTACTCTCGGTCTCCATCTCCTCAACATTCCCTCCTCCTCTACAACCAAATGCTCCACTTCTGCGCTCCCCAAATCTGTGTCGACACCTTCACCTTCTCCTTCCTCCTCAAAGCCTGCGCTAACTTATCTAGCGCTCGGATTGGAGCACAGCTTCATTGCCTAGTAGTCAAGAACGGCTTTGCTTTCCATCTCTATGTGCATACTTCTCTTGTTAACATGTATGCCACTCGTGGGTATTTGATTGATGCCAAGAAGGCGTTTGATGAAATGCCTGAAAGAAGCTTGGTCACGTGGAATGCAATGATAACCGGCTTTGCTTTGTCGGGTGAGATTGAAAAGGCTAGACAGCTTTTTGAACGAATGCCAACCCCCGACGTGGTTTCTTGGACCGGGATGATCGATGGGTACACTCGAGCTAATCAAGCAAAAGAAGCTCTGGACATGTTTCGAAGAATGAGCAAGAGAGCCATAATGCCTACGGAGATCACAGTTCTTGCAATCGTCCCTTCGATCTCCAACCTTGGGTCGGTCGAGCTGGGTGAGACGCTGCATGCTCGTTGTCATAAAGGAGGTCTGACACTTGTAGACGTCCGCGTAGAAAACTCTCTCATAGACATGTACGCAAAATGCGGGTCGATCGAAAACTCCAAGAAACTATTCGACACAACATCAAATAGAAAGAATCTAGTATCGTGGACAACAATCATTACAGCTTTCGCAACACACGGGATGGTAAAACAGGCGCTTCAACTATTCGAAGACATGAAGAACGAGAAAAACATTAGACCGAACCGTGTCACATTTTTGAGCGTATTGAATGCGTGTAGTCATGGAGGGCTAGTCGAAGAGGGTCTCCAATATTTTTCAAGCATGGTGTTCGAATACGACATTGAGCCTGATATCAAGCATTACGGTTGTTTGATCGATATGTTAGGGAGAGCGGGAAGGTTGGAAGAGGCGGAGGAGACAATAAGGGGGATGCCGGTGGCGGTGAATGTGGTCGTGTGGAGGACATTGTTGGTGTTGTATAAGTTTGGTCCGGAGGTGGAATTGGGGAAAGAGTGATAAGGAGGATAAGGGAGTTTGAGGAGAAAGTATGGAGGGGATTTTGTGGTGTTGTCTAATATGTTGAATGAGGCTGGTAGGTTTGGGGATGCTGAGAGAGTGAGGAGGTTGATTGATGAGAGGCATCTAGTTAAGGTTGCTGGGGTTAGTTCGGTTGGGGGAAAGTTGTAGAAGCTTTGGAAAGTGTTAATAGAAATGTGTTTTAAATTTAATTAATTATTAGAAAATAATTTGATAATTCATCTAATTAATTGTTTGAATTTGACTCGAAGATTATATTAAAGAAATTAGATACTCTTGGTAATAATATATATATTAAATAAATCAAATATGAGTTGACAGTAATTTTGTTCATTTTCTCATCAATTAATTAGATTAGATAATTAGAGAAAAACTTATGTCAACTTAAGTGGACGTTAACTAAGTTTCTTAGTCATTAATGATCACTTGATTGAGCTACATTATGGATGATCCGCTCCATGAAATTTGATCTATATATTCTAAAACCTCAACACACTAAATTTGGGGTGAACCCGTCGTGGTTTGATCCTCCGTCGAGCCATGTAAAAAGTTCTATTCATTCGAAACCGTTAAAATTGATACGAGTGGATGAATGGTCAAACCACGATGGGTTCACCCCAAATTTAGTGTGTTGGGGTTTTAGAATATGTAGATCAAGTTTAACAGAGCGGATCATCCACAATGTAGCTCAATCAAGTGATCATCAATGACTAAGAAACTTAGTGGACGTCCACTTAAGTTGACATAAGTTTTTCTCTAGATAATTATTCATTTTATTATTCATTCAAAGTTGATTTAAAAGATTATTTAAGAGAAATCAGAATTTTCTTTTACATATTGTATATTTACTAAATCAAAACATTGCTTACCTTTATTTGATTCATTTCTTATCAAACATTTGTTTGTAGATGGGCAGTTTGTTTTGCTTAAAAACATGAGAAAGGGTAGAAAACCATTGGATGCACATGGAAATCTCCATAAAGACAAGTGTCTTTTTTAGTTACCAACCAAACAATGAATTGATGTGAAAATTATTTTCCCTTGATTTAAGGTGAACCGAACATAAAAATTAGATTTTAAAGGAATCAATCGGAAAGGCATGGAAACAAGTTTTTAGCATGAAAACCAATTTCGTATCATTTATGGAAACCAATCAAACAGCCACAAAATCCTTTACTATACATTATTTTTCATATGTTTTCTTTTTCTTTTTTTATTGAACATTTGATGCTATATTTTAATCTCTTACATAATTTTTACAGGTTCTATACTTTGGGGATTTAGAGTTCCAAATTAGATTTTTTTTAATCAGATACTTAAATTACTGATTTACATTAATATTCAAATTATGGATTTATATATCATTGTTATAAAGAAATAATTTCTACAAATCTAAATTATATATTTTAATAAATAACTATTTAATCAGATGCAATTACACTATTAGACAAACACGTTGGGATGCAAAGTGAATTGCATGTGGTAAAATATTTTGATTGCTTGCTTTTGAGCTTATTTCTTTACTATAACTGAGTTGCGAAATGCAAGTTCGAAATTTCTTTGGTCATTTAACGAATACTAAAACTCAAGGGTAATTCTCATCATCAATTTTGCATTTATACAAAGTGAATTAAATTGAAATTAAGACTTTTATTCATAATTAATCAAAATTTAAATAATTTTATCCTAATTCATAGACACCATATCCATCAAAAATGACAATACATGCTTTAAAATCTTTAGGAAAAATTTTCAAAATAGACTGTTAGCCTTTTTATTTTGATGATGTTTAACAAATAATTTACTACTAATATTGTTTGTCTAGTATTTGTGTTTTTGTATTTATTGTAGACAAACAATATGTTGGAGGTTGGATGAAATTGCGTCATAACGATCATATCAATGGAGGTTGGCGAAATATCGGTATGAAGCAATGCAATTCAAGTTGAAGATCTAAGTTCAAGCTTCATCTGCAAGTTTACCAAAAAGAGCTTATTGAAGATCAAGATCATTGGTTGGTATATTAGTTTAGGTTTTATATTATGTGTGTTTAGTACATTAAGCTCAATATCATATACACACACATTTTATTGGTTTCTCTCTCTCTCTCTCTCTCTCTCTATATATATATATATATATATATAGATATAGATATATACATACACATTTTGGTTTTTGGTTTTATCCACAAACAAAAATTTTACAAATAAATTCCAAAAATTGTTTATACATGTTTGTTTTCATGAGGGTAAGTTATTTTAGTTTAGTTATATAGACATGAAACAAATATACATTTATATTCATATGTTTTATTTTCTATTATATTTGGAAAAAAATATTATGTTTATGGATTGAAGACTTTTTTATACTATTTTTATATCTTGTATAAATCCATTCTAAAGTGTTTCAAAGTTTTGTTTAAGTCATTTTGACAAATCAAGTTTTCAACATGCTCATACTTATGTGATTTTGCAAAATGATGAGATTTCACAAATGTAAAGTGCTTTTTAAAAATCAGTTTTTGTAACATGTTTATTTTCATGTTTACACTCATTTTCTAATGTTTTACATTTTTTAGATTTATTGTGCTATTTTTAAAGGCACTCAAGAACTCATTTTCAAACATGCACAGTGCCTGTACATGTTTATGAGTCGACTTATGCCAGAGAAAGTCGACTTGTGAACTGCTCCGGAATTAGCAAATAGTTTCTGCTATGATTTATAAAATTATAAGTCGACTTATGATATAGTAAGTCGACTTATGATTCCCGTAAGTCGACTTATGTGTGTTGTCTGAGCCTGTAACAACTAATTTATAAATCGACTTATAAACAACGTAAGTCAACTTATAACACTATAACGACTATTTTTCCAGACTCCTTGTTTTTTGGGTTTTTTTTTTGTCTTTTTGCTGGGTTTTTGTTTGTGTTTTGGGGTCTCCTATATATACCTCCTTATACCCATCTCTATTACTACTGAAGAGAATGTTTTAAGAGAGTTTTATAAGGCTTTTAAGTTTGGTTTAAGTTTGTTTAAAAAGCTTTTAAGCATTTTTACAAGTTTAGTTTGTGAAGAGAATTTCACAAGAAGAAGAAGAGATCACCATTTGTGTTTGAGCTTCCACTCTTCTCTCTTTCCCGGTTGTTATCTATAGAGAAGTTTCCCTAAACTCAATCTAACTTTACATTTATATTGCTTGATTATCATTTTATCACGCTAGTGATTATATTGAGTTTAATTGATTTTATTTCTACTCTTTGCTTACACACACAACCATTGAGCTTCTAGTATTTTCATACATACTATAATTTGGATTGTGGGGAGTGTATCATTGAGTGTGAGCTTATATTATGTTCCCATCCATATTAGAGAACAATCATTTGTTGTATTAAGCTATTATTATGAGGTTCACTTTGTAATACACTAGTACATCGAGAGGAGTGTGTGGTGAGATACGGAGTTGTCCCAAGAGGAGTGGCGTTGGTAGTAAAGCCTAGAGGTAGGTCATAATTCCGAGCACTTGAGGGAAACACGGGCTAGGGACTAACACTTAAGGTGGTAGTTAGTATGGTTACATTGTGAGTGTTGTAAAACTTTCGATGAGCTAAAAACCGAGTGTGTCGTTGCAAATATTTTCGGGTGAACGTTAAAAACCCGGTGTGATAGTGGATTTCTTCCCAGGAGTGGGGAGCGGAGACGTAGGACAGAAGGTCCGAACTCCGTGATCATATTGCTTATTTGAGTTTGGCTTGACGCACTTATATTTGTGTTCATTTTTATTACCATTCTCTCATTGTTTATTTCATCCACTATATTGTCTATGTTTATATTTTCCTTGTTTAGTTTAACATCGTTGAACATATCTTGCTTGTATCATGTTTGGTAGGATACTTGTTAATAAGTTTTTAATTAGTATAAAATCGGATTAGATTAGTATAATACCCTATTCACCCCCCTAGGGTTCTCTATAGTGGCATTAGGGTGTTTTCAATTGGTATCAGAGCTTTGTGCTCTTTGAATTAAGGTCTAATCGTCTTGAGTTAAAGATCCAAGTTATCTTATTGTGCTAATCTAGTTTTGATTGCATTTGTCTTGCTTGCATATAATTATAATTATAGATATGAATGGTGCATCTTGTTTAGGCTATGATCTTAGTATTGCTCCACAATATAGAAACTTCTCTTATGATCAATGGTGTTTTATATTTAAAATATTTGTTCAATCTAAAATATTGATTTGTGGGAAGTTATTGATTGTTCTTACATTGTGCTCACTTTGGAAAAATCCAAGTGGAGCAATCATGATAAAATGATGTTTACAATGAACAAGTTAGTGTTAGAATTCTTGCATAATACTTTTGAACCATGTATTTCTAACAAACTTGCTCATTTTGATAGTGCTTACATTATTTAGAAGTTTTTTGAAGCACAACAAGGAGACTTGGAGGAGATTCGACGCATTGTGGTGGAATCGACTTCAAGTGATAGTGGAGCATCATGCGCACGTCCACTAGGGGACAACCCTAGTGTGGTAAGCGATTCATAATCCGATAATGAATTATCCATTTTTGATATCGCATGTGCATATGAAAAATTAATGCATGCCTACAAGAAATTAAAAAATAATTTTATTGAACTTAACAGCTCCAACACACTTGATAATCCTAAATTTCTAATTATCGAAATAAGCACTATACATTAGATTAACTAATTATATATATTAAAAATATGAATTTCTAAAGGGGATAGGTTTGGAGGAAGATGATCTTGCTTCAACATGCTACTGAAAAAAATCCAAGGGTGCAAGCAAACAGGTTCTTCCTTGCCAAATGGCGATGATTCGCCGTCTTCTTAGTATTTGCTTCACAATGTGATGTTCCCGAGTTCACACAAATCTTCAGTTCAAGGTAAAATCAAAGTTGCTAAACCTATCATGCACCCGTATTGTGCAACTACATATTTCATCAGCATAAAAATATCTCTCTAGTGGAATCAAATATGACAGTACAGATACAAGCAGATATAAAAGAGATAAAGACAGTAAATAGAACAAAGAAATAAATAATAAATCTCCAAATAATCAGGTCTTAACGGATATAAAAGAAAATATATCTAATAATCTGATACAAATGATCCAAAAATTTCAACTAC